AGGCTGAGGCAAGAGAGTAACTTGAGCCCGGGAGACTGAGGTTGCAGTGAGCCACGATCGCACCATTGCACTCCAGCTTGGGTGACAAGAGCAAAACACCATCTTAAAAAAAAAATCTCAAAATGATTCCCAAGTCATCAAGTCATTTAAATACACATTCCCTAGAAGATGTCTCTCCCCAGTGTCCCTCACACACTGTCATGGAAACCACCACCCTAGTGGCTACAGTCTAGTCAATGCAAGAGACACCTCTGATATCTTCCCTGACTTCATTTCAGGGTCAGAAAATTTAAATAGGCAATAACTACCCTTATTGCAAAACACAGAAATGAACAAACTCAGTTCTCAAAACCAGTTATTTTGAGTTTTAAAAATAAAACTCAATCCCCTCAACCCTGAGATTTAGGCTTGGGTTTTCCTGACAATAACAGACATTGTCTATTGCACACCTGCTATGTGTCAGAAAGCATGTAACAAGGAAGCTGGTCTCAAAAAGGAGATCAGGGCAAGTGTTCCTGGGGGAAATGATACAGTTAGGACCTCAATTATGACGTAGTAGATTTTGTTGATTGGTTTATCTCAATACTCCTAATATGCAATGGAAAGAACATTAACCTAGATTATACAAGATTTGGGTTCTGGCCCCAGCTCAGTAGCTTACAAGCCAGGCAACACATTATTCAAATCCCTAATTTGCTCTGAACCTCAGTTTCCTCATCTGTAAAATGGGAATAACTGCCCTACCCAATTCACAGAACTGTTATGAGGATCAAATGAAAGTTTATATATTCCCAGGTGCAGTGGCTCACACCTGTAATCGCAGCACTTTGGGAGGCCGAGGTGGGTGGATCACAAGGTCAGGAGATTGAGACCATCCTGGCTAACACAGTGAAACCCCATCTCTACTAAAAAAAAAAAAAAAAAAAATTAGCCGGGTGTGGTAGCATGTGCCTGTAGTCCCAGCTACTCAGGAGGCTGAGGCAGGAGAATTGCTTGAACTCAGGAGGCAGAGGTGGCAGTGAGCCGAGATCGAGCCATTGCATTCCAGCCTAGGTGACAAAGTGAGACTCCGTCTCAAAAAAGAAAGTCTATATATTAAAAATCTTGAAAATTATAAATACCATATGAATGTAAGATATGATTTTAATATCCTTTTTTTCTCATTACAAAAGAAATACATGCCCATTGTAGAAAATTTGGAAAATGTAGAACATATCAAAGATGAAAATCTAAAGACATATATTTCTGTCTTTTCAGTTATTTTTTCTTTGCATATGTGAGTGTATAAGTAATTCTTTAAACAAAAACTGGGAGCATCCTTGCATGCTGTTGCGTAGCCTGCTTTTTTCCCTCACAATTTATCATTAACCTTCTCCCAAGTCGTTAGATGGTTTTTCTACAACATGGTTTTCAATAGCTGCAGCGTATTCTGTAAAATGTTGTCATTTTACCTTCATAGCCCATTACTTCCTTCATTAGCAGGTTGGGAGTGACTTAAGAGAAATCCCCAACCACTTTTTCTACTGCCACAAAGCTGGCACTGGCCCCAAGGACACTGCCAGCATATTCAAACTCCAAAGTGCCAGATTCTTAGAATCCATTGTCTTGATGCCCCGAACAAACCAAAGAGGTCTCCTGGGGAACTCTCCTGATCCCGCCCATATCTGTGCAATGCCATCCCCAGGCCCTGGAATCAAGTCAGGCCAGGATGGCAGTTTTGCCTGATTTGGGCACCCAGTGCTGTGTGGGTGAAATTCCTCAGGAGATGACTCTGAAGCTCCCCTCACCAAACCACTGTGATGCCAATCATTTGGGGAATAGCTTCCTTTCTTTGTCACCTGTAAGCTTCACTAGGCTTTAATATTTTCAAAGTTCAGGTGAACCTGGACCCTTCAAGCAGCACTCCTGCTGAATTGGTTTTCAGACTGTGTCACTTTAAACATGATTCAAGAAAAATTACCGGAGCCTCCACTCCATCTGTCTCTGGAAATGGTCTTTGTGCTCAGATCATTTGCCAGCGACACTCCATCTCCACAATTACCTCGGCTATTTTATCTTTATCTGTCTGGAACACTGAAGGGGAAGCAGCAGATAATGCTGTCATTTAAGTGACTTGTTCAGCTTAAACACTTTTGCACCTCTGGAGCATAAAATACCCCCACAGCAGCCCTGGTCTTCCCTGGAGGACCAGCCCCTGTGCTGTCTTAGGGTTTAAGTATGATCAAGTGGCAGGGGTGGTGGGGAGAGCTGCCAGCAAAATGACTGGAGTGGAACAGGGCTGCATCCCTTAGGAATGCAGGGATGGGACTGACTCCCTGGCCATAATTGGAACCTCATGTGCCTCCTGACCCCCAGGTGGCTTCACACTATAGGTGGGTGTTTTAACAACTCTCTAGTACTAGCATGGCTTCTCTGCAAATGGAATTATTCTGCAATAGACCAAGCTCTGGCATGCCTGAAAGGTCAAGGGGGAAGTGCTAGGACCAGACAGCTGAGATGTTAGCCTGCCTGACATTTCTCTACCGATGTATCTTTTTACACACCTGCTATACGAACATACTATAGACACCAAGAGGAAGAAAGATGCTGCCTTATGCCTCCTGCCTGCAAGGAGATAAACTATTGCAAGATAATGAACAAAACAAGGTACACGCCAGGTTAATAACAACAGCTAGCATTTATGGAGCTCTTACCACGTGCCAGGCATTCTGTTAAGCACTTCATCACATTTTCTTATTTATTCCTCATAACTATGCTATGAGGAGCTACATGATGAACCTCGTTTTTCAGACATGGACACTGAAGTATAGTGAGCTTACACAACCTGCCCAATATCACACAAGCTGTCGCTGCAGCCTTAGATTTCCTCTTCGCAAGCAAGACACTGCTGCCTCCAAAGGGAACAGTGATGAGATGAAAGAGAGGGAGCCCCACCCCACTTCCCAATAAATTCAGTCCATTGGCCATTTCCAGAACCAGAATCAGAGACCCAGAAAAAGTACACACAGCAGCCCCACCAGGCGGAGAACCTAGCCCACAAGTCCCAGTACCCTCCAGAGACACAGCCCTACACATTTTGCCTGAGGTATGGCCCTTTCCATATTGTCTTCACCCCTCCCTCAAGAGGAAAACTTTTTTTCTATTCATGTTTCCCTTAAAATAAGATTTCAGTCCTTCCATGCAATGGTTGGGCCAAAATCAGAAGGAATTCCAGCTACATGGGCCAGGGGAGGGTCTTGGGAGTCCAGCCAGGTCATTGCCTGGAGGAGCCTGAATCAAACATGACCCAAGAAGTCAAATAAATCCAAGGTAAGGAAGGGAGCGAAAAAGAGCCCATGACAGTGCAAGACAAGCCACATCGGGCCTAGACCCAGGTGGGACAATCAGGGCAGAACCAGGAAACAGGGCGTGAGGTCTGGCTCAGCATAGTGGCCCCAGAAGCAGGCTCTGAGATAAGGCTTAGGTGTGGGAGGCAATTCTGCAAAGCAGCAGTAGGGGATGGGGAACTGAGACAAGGAAAGGAAGAAGGCGAATACAGGATGTATGATAAGAAGTTCACTATCTGGAACAACTGAGACTTCCTCACACTGGGGAACTCTGGGAGACCACGTAGAACATTCCTCAGGGTGGTCCCACCAGATGTGTCCGGGAGCCGGGGCAGTTTCTTCTACCGCCTTCTCATTAATAGCTGACAGCTGCTGCATGTGCGATGACTCCAGGCATTTCAGCCTGCCCCACCTACTCAGGCAAAGCTGGGTCCCCCTGCAGCCAGAGGAAGCCCACCGGCAGGCAGTCTTGGGGACGTGCAGAAAAAGCCCACGTTGACTGAGCCCAAGAACTGATGAGGTCAGAACAGAGCAAACAGAAACAGGAAGGGAAAGAGTATAAGAAAACAGTTGAAACCCTCAACGTTACAAAGGGGGCAGAAGGACTGTGAGCTCACCAGTGTACCTGGTGGATGACCACATGACACAGGCAAGATGGGGCTGCGCATTTCCAGGGTCGGGGCTAGGCTAAGGAGGAAGCAGCTCCCATGGGTTCGTTGCCTGGGCTCAGTGCCCCTCATGGACCTCTGCTCTTGTGTTCCCTTCCCTGTCCTAGGGATGAGCTGGACAACCAACCTGGGTATCAGACTACAGGAAATAGCAGGGTTTAGGCCTCTTGTCACCTTCTAGCTTCTCTCTCTTCCCCCATTCTGCCCTGCCTGAAACCCCATGCACTTTCTCCCTGGGTGAGGCAGCATGATGTTGCTAAGATGATATCTCCTCTCTCTCCAGCCCAGACCCACAGCCTGACCCTGTGGCAATGGTCCAGAGCCATCACTCTGCAAATAACTGTGGCTGGGTGAGAGGTGCTGAAGCCAACAGGAGGACCTGAGATGGACACCTGTAATTTCACATTCGGAAAAGCCCAGCCCTTCAAACAGAAGTGCTATTTCAATTTTCTCACTCCCACTCTTCTTTAACCTCAGACTAAGAGGGGAATAAACCCTCTTTGATTTGTAGACTGAATTCTTTAAAGAGACAGCTTGTTCTTTTTCCAATGTATTTTTTCCTTTTGCTTGGGGCAGACACCAGGGGCCCCAAATGCGAATTTGGTACGTTGGTTAGATGGCTCAAAATGCCAAAAGTTACTATTGGGAATATGGTGCTACCAATCCATCTTTCCTGCTAATCCAAAAGTCAAATAAGTCCATGGAGGGCTTTTTTTCCTCTAGAATTTCAGGCTCCCTGAGGGCTAATTTCTCGGAAAGGTGCATTAAACTAATGGCACCATAAAAGGCCCATTGTGAGATGTAATTGGTTTGCAGGACTTTCCTATAAAAATAATAAAAAGACTGCCAGAGGCAGTTTCCAAAGGTCAATTATCTTTGTGTTGCTTGAGTTGAGTGGAGGTCAGTCCCAGAATTCCACTTTATAGGCATATTAATCAAAACTGGGACTGCCCACCCATCTGACCCCATCAGCTGTGAGGGAAGTCACAGGTTCCACCCTTAAGCTGGTTGCCAAGGGGGCTTTGGGCTCTTCTTTTCCCAGGAAGAGACTGACCCATTGTTACCAATGCAGAGCTGGAAGCTGAAATTTTTAAGGCAGACGAAAGGGAGAAAAGCACTTCCTAAGCACCAAGAAGAAGAGTTGATAACTTGGTGAGTCATTCAGGCCATGGGGCAGAAAGTGTGCTCAGAGATCAGGCCAGACAGGGCCCTGTCCCCAAGGAGCTAGAGAAGTGGTTGAGCCAGGACTCTTGGTTATCTGACATAAACCAATTTAAATTAGATTAAGCAAAAGTGAAGTTAATTGGCTAACATGACTGGGAATCTTAAGGATGGCTGGATCCAATGGCTCAAACAATGTCAACTGTTCTCTCTCCCCCTGTCTATCTCTGCCCTGCTAGTCCTTTCTCTCAGAGAAGCTGTCCCATGGCAGTCAAGCAGACATCAGGCTTCTTGCCTGTCTTCGGCATTTAGCTATCTCAATATAAAGAGGGACTTTTTCTCCTACTGTTCATCAATTCCAGGAAAAAACTGGTTTGCCCTGTGTGGTTCATGTGTCTATCCCAGACCAATCATTGTATCCAAGGGGTTGTAAGAATCTGGCTTGCTGAGACTGGGTTACATGCCCATCCCTGCCCATCCACTCCTGGTATTACAGGAACAGAGTTTTCTGCTTTCTCCTGCTCAAAATAAAATCTGAAAAACAAGTGCTCTTGCAAGGCCCTAAGTTCCAAAAAGAACGAATTATTCTCAAGCCCTAGAGTATGCAAGTCTCAATAAGGATGCATGGAAAAGTATGTGAGGCTGTGCCAAAATATTAACAACACTTATGCCAAAATGCTAGGTGTGACTTCTTTTTACCCTCCCTGTATATCATGTTTTCTAATCTTTCTGCAATGAAAATGTTTGTATAATTTTTAAAAGGAAAAAATAATGCTCAAAACCTATTGATCTCATTACTCTGATTCTATATGGACCAAGCAGCCCTTTGAGGACCTAAATTGGTTTCCAAAGTCAACTTTGCTACTACAGAGAGATGGGCTGACCATCCAGAACACCCCATAGCCATGACTTTTATTGATGATACTCAACCATGCTAGAGTATCAAGTCTTGTATCTATGTATCTCCTGCTTGCAAAGTGCCAGCCCCATAGCCAGCCTCTTCTTGGCCCAATCTGATGGCAGCATCATGAGGCCCTGAAGAATAAAAGTGTGTGCCTTCTCACAATAGCCCTGCGGGGGCTGGCCACTTTTGTGGCTGACCACAGAGCAGTTACTCATTAGCAGCTGAGTAAAAGCCAGTGCATTTTCTATCATCTACATGAAGGGGTGGTCTCAATCACTGACAGTTCACACTGAGTATGAAAGGGACGTGTGGTTCCTGGGAGCAGCAGCAGAAATGTTCCACCTAGGGCCAGGAGTTCCATAAAGAGTCATTTCTGCGTTGGGAATAAAGGTGGAAATTATCAGACCTTCGAAATAGCTGAACTTAGATCTTAATATTCGAATAGAATCAAAGCACCTTGGCATAATACAGTACTTTTTATGGAGTCCTTTGTCACACAGGTATGGAGATACACATGTATTCAGTAAAAAGTATTTTTAAATTTTTATTTCTAGGCTCATTTTGGAAGAGGTAGGATTACTGGCCAAATAAGTAATATATTTATTAAAGGCCATTGATGCTTCTTAGATGTGAAACTAAGTGGCTAAATGCCAAGCTACATTTATAATATTCACATGGACCCTAAATTTGGTATTTTTCCCAAGAAAAATAGCTATTAATCAAAACTAAACTAACATTTACCATTCGTCTCCTATGATTTATCCATATTAAGTAGTGTCTTTAAAAAACCCCAAGAATTTTTCAAGATGGGAAGTTAATGAATAATGCTAGTGAGTGGAAGAAACAGAGTTTAACCCAAGTCTGACTCTGTCCCATCTTTCCTTCTAGGATGCCTACATGCCCTTCTCAGCAAAACCCCGACTACACCTGCACATAGTAGGCCCATCTGTAGACAGACCAGGTATGATTAACTCATGCAACGTTTGCAGGCCACATTTTCTTTTTTTTTTAAATTTTTTATTTTTTATTGCGTTTTAGGTTTTGGGGTACATGTGCAGAACATGTAAGATAGTTGCATAGGTACACACATGGCAGTGTGTTTTGCTGCCTTCCGCCCCCTCACCCACATTTGGCATTTCTCCCCATGCTATCCCTCCCCAGCTCCTCCCCCCGCTGTCCCTCCCCTATTCCCCCCAATAGACCCCAGTGTGTAGTACTCCCTTCCCTGTGTCCATGTGTTCTCATTGTTCATCACCCGCCTATGAATGAGAATATGCGGTGTTTCATTTTCTGTTCTTGCGTCAGTTTGCTGAGAATGATGTTCTCCAGATTCATCCATGTTCCTACAAAGGACATGAACTCATCATTTTTGATTGTGCAGGCCACATTTTCTGCATCTTCCACATATTCATACAGGGCCAATGGAAAGGGATGCAAAGTGGAGAAAAAAAAAACTCAGATGAAAAAGACAACAGAAGGTAGAGTTAACTCTGCAAGAGCTAAATCAATTTAACTCAAAGAGTCTGTCTTCCACTACATGGAAAGTAGCAGCTGAACAGTGGGCTCTGAACCAGCTTGGCCCTTTCTGGCTTAAATACATCCTCTCCAGAGGAAATTTCCTTAAGTGTCAGGTGGGCATAATTCTAAGCATAATACTAAACATCAACAGGAAAATAAGCCCTGTGGTTATAAATCCCTCATGGAAATAGTAAAAATGCCTCTGACTAGATAACAGCATGACACAACAATGTTCCAGAAAGACAAACATAAATGTGAGTTGCTGCCTACTTTAAAGAAGAAGCAGTAGTGACAAATTCCCTGTAGCTACTTTGCCAAGTCCTTCATATTAGTGCTTGGAAAGTTACAGGGCCCCAGGGTCTGTTCTCAGACACCGCTTTCTAGGATGGGTGCCGGCCAAACTGGGTTTATTTCTTCTAATGCTCAGGCTGGGGAATGTACAAATCTTTCTTCAGAGCTTTATAGAAAACAAGACTGGCTTATTGAGAGTATGGCTTTTTGTTGTTGTTCTCTACAATAACAAGAGGATTTGGATACACACTTGGGTTTATAAAGTATAAATCCTGCTTAAATCTATAGAAGTTAAGATGTGATGGTTCTTTGGAGAAGAAAGCAGCACCTGAGTCAAACTGCACTGAGCAATGTTCTTTGTTGTTGTGAGATATTGATAAATCTCCAGGTCTTCAACAAGGGGAGTCGGGAATAGGAAACTCATTTCAATTCATATCTCAGGTAGGCGTCTGAACCAAAATAAGATGGAAGTCATTAATTTTTTTTTTCTATTAAGCCACCTAGCACAAGTGGAATCGTTCTCCCCTTTTCTTATTTTGACCTGAAATCTGTTAAGGACAAGAGCCAAGATTCCTATTCCAAATCTTCAGAGAACTGCACAAAACTGTTCGTTTCTTTTTTCCTTAACAAAAACAAGATGTGAACAAAACTGTCACTTAATATGGTAATTAATACAGGGAGACATAATTAGCTGCTACAAGCATTCCTTTGTCATCTCAACCATCACTGACGCCAAGGAGGTTAACATCTCTATTGCTGTTACGGTAATAAGCCACCTGATGGATAGGTGTGTTCTACTTGTCTGGATTTGGTAACACAACATCTCAAACTAATTTCACAATAATCTCCCAAATCTTCTTCATAGATAAAAAGAGAGACAGGCAAAATGCTTCTTCAGGCAAATTTTCACATCTGTAAACATCAACAACCTTATACCAAATCACTTAACTTTCTGTAAAAAGGTAAACATGGGTCACAACAGTAAGACTGCCCAAATTTTGCAACTCAGGGCAAAGCTAGAACAATCTCTCCAGCAGCAAACTAGGTGCTCCAAGTCTAACCACCTAAACCAAAAAGCATACCGTCACCAGTTTACCTAACACCCCAGAACAAAAAGATTAAAACACCATCTTCACTAGGCTGTGTTTAGATGAGGCTGTGCACTGTTTATACTATACCTGGCTTTCCTTTTATGTCAAGAAAATCAAGGCCTTTTGACCACAAGATGAAATCCAGGCCTGCAGTTTGCCTGACGGTGAGCTCGCTGCCCCTTTAACCGCATCATTCCCTCACCCTCTCTCCACCCTCTCCTTCCATCCAAAACAAAACACAAGCTGCTTGTTTTCCCATTACCTTCTCCTGTGACCAATTTTCTCCCCACATCTCTGGTCATTTCTCACCATTGCCTGTAGCTTTCTTTATATCTTCAGTCAGTTCACTGTGGTCTTTGCATATTTTTTTAAATTGGGTGCTTTAAGGTGGTTGTCTCAATATAATCAGTTATTAGGTATAATTACTTCTTTATGAGTAGAATTACCATTCCATTAAGTTTATTAATTCTTCAGGAAAGTGGGGTTGCATAATATTTGAGTCGGAAGCACTTCTTCCAGTGTCTCTGCTCCAGGCTTCTGCAATGCATAAATCCTGTCTTTGATAGCCCCAGCTCCTGATGTCTCCTCTGCTTAAACACTCCAGGTGACAAGAAGGTTACCATATTTGAGGCAATCTGCTGGGTTGCGTGGCTGCAAACATCTGTAGAACATTCTGCCTTACATTGCTGGAGACTGTCTCCTACCACGTGAATCTTTGATGCTGGTTTCACTTTCAGGAGCTCTAAGAATGAGTCAACTCTCCCTTCTGAGTTGGCCACCCCTCAACCAAGATGGGACAGTGATCTCATTCCTCTCAGCAGGAGTGCTGAGCTCAGACAGCTATGAAAACCAAAAATCACCCCAGGTAAGTTATGAGGGTTTGAAGAGAACCAGAGTGGTTCATTAATAGGAAGAAGCTGTGAGTTGTGAGCTTCTTCTCATCATGTGAGCGTTGTTATAGATAAATGAAGACCCAACAGTGCCAGAGCTTTCAAATCTCCAAGAGAAGCGTTCAGTCTGAATTGATACATGAAATGTCTCAGTATTTAAAAGCTGACAACCAAATCAGAAAATAATTTTAAACATCATATAGGCCTAATGAAACACATCTCAAAGGCAGATCCAAATCACAGAATTCCAATCACAAGTTGAAATCCACTTCTTTAAAATCTTTTCTTCTCTGACTGGGCATGGTGGCACATGCCTATAGTCTCCCAGCTACTCAGGAGGCCAAAGGAGGAGAATTGCTTGAGCCCAGGAGTTCAAGGCTAGCCTGGGCAACACAGCAAGACTGTCTCTAAAAGTAAAATTAAAATCTTTTCTCCAAACTAGAGGTGTGGTGGTTTCTACAGCAATGGCAATGTTGTTTGGGATCTCTTTTTATTTTTATTTTCCCATACATTGACCTGCAGAAATGGTTAAGTGTCTTGATGAGTGCATGTATTTGCAATTACCTGGAGGTTTTCTTTTTTAAAGCATTTCAATCAAATTTATCCCCCCATGCAAGGTTGACTATATGAATACAAGTTAGATCATTATAAGCTATTTAGGTAATAAGCCAACATCACTATTGAACATCCCTAAACTAGGGTTCAGAGAGTTTATTTTTAACATCACTGAAACCTCATTTCCTCATCTTAAAACAGGATTTGAAAAAAATATTCTCCTTGGTGGAACTTAATCACTACCACTCTTTTCTGAGCTGAGGTTGCTCCAAAATTAGTGACTTGATCCCAAAGGACAGGGTTGAGAAAGGGAGAAACAGTGATTTTACAGTGGGAAACCTGACAATACTACGTTAACCAAATGATGAGAGTGAGCATCATCAGTGAAGTCATGTGTCTATCACGCACCTCCTGATATAAAGGACTTTGCCTCTGTGGTATACTTCCCAGAAGGGCATAACCCAATCTAATCATTTTAAAAAATCAAATAATTTTATTTCAGGGGATAGTCTATAGAACAGTGTTTCAAGAAGGAGAAAGTAGTCAGATGGAGCAAATGTAGTTGAGAGATTATAATAGATTAGGACAGGAAAGTTTCTGCTGGATTTAAATGTTTCCAGAAATATGTTGGACATCAAAGCTAAATTCTAGAGAATTAAAAAGTGAGCAGGATACAAGAAGAGACAATGGGTTCAAGAAGATTTCCTGGAGGAGAAGGAATTGGGGTATGCACTGAGAGGATATGAAATCAAGAAAGACTGTTGTTTTTTTAACGGGTCATGCTAGTACAAATATCTGCAAGATAATGGTAATGAGCTTGTAGACAAAAAAAATTGATAATACAGGAGAGGGGCAATAAAGCTTGCTAAAATACCAAGTCCTTGAGAAAGTGAGGAGGTAAGTTCCAGAGCACAAGAAGAGTTTGGCCTGTGATAGAAGTAGGGACATAAGCCAGGCACATTGGCTCACACCTGTGATCCTAGCACTATGCGAGGCCAAGGCAGGAGGATTGCTTAACACAGGGGTTTGAGACCAGCCTGGGCTATATAGTTAGACCCTGTCTCTGAAAAAGTTTTTAAAATAAAATTTTAAAAATAAAAAAAAGAAGTTAGGTCATGTCATACTTCTTAATGAGGGGGAAGTAGAGAAGACAGGCACCGCTGAAAGTAGATTTGTAGTTTTGTTGGTGGTGAAAGGGGTTAGCCAGCTTGCTCTACACAAACAGTAAGGGAGGGAAGGGTCCCTGGAGAGCCTCCAACCTGTCCTGCAGGTGCTTGCACCAGATTTTTGTGCAGATAAGGGAACTTGCACAAGGGGCTTGCCTAAACAAACCCACAGCAGACGAAGGGCCCATCTGTGCACTAGGGGAATAGGGTGGAGGCACCAGAAATTTGTGCCTTATACAAATAGTGAACCCAGACCCATCAACTTATATATAAAAACCCTGTATTCAACTGTGAAGGAGGCAACTGGGAACCTGCTTTCAGGACCCCTCTCTTTGCTGATAGCTTCCCTTTTGCTTAATAAATTCTACTCCACATACTCTTCAAGTGTCCATATGCCTAATGTTTCCTGTTTGTGAGACAAGAACCCAGACCTAACTGAACTAAGGGGAAAAAATCCTGCATCAATGAAAAGATTATGACTTCTGCATTCTCAAAGTATGAAGCAAGCCATGAGTTAAAAGAAAGTAGGTTCCCAACCCAAATGCCCATCAATGATAGACTGGACAAAGAAAATGTGGCACATATACACCATGGAATACTATGCTGCCATAAAAAATGATGAGTTCATGTCCTTTGTAGGAACATGGATGAACCTGGAAACCATCATTCTCAGCAAACTGACACAAGAACAGAAAATCAAACACCATGTGTTCTCACTCATAGGCAGGTGTTGAACAATGAGAACACATGGACACAGAGAGGGGAGCATCACACACCGGGGTCCATTGTCAGGGGATAGGGGAGGGATAGTGGGAGGGAGGGTGGGGAGGGATAACGTGGGGAGAAAAGTCAGGTATAGGTGATGGGGGATGGGGGCAGCAAACCACCATGCCATGAATGTACCTATGCAACAATCTTGCATGATCTGCCCATGTACTCCAGAATCTAAAGTACAATTAAAAAAAAAAAATGAGTACCATTAAAAAAAAAAAAAAAAGACAAAAGTAGGTTCCCAGGGTGGTAGAAAGAAGGCAGTGGAAGCACACTCACACTAGGAGAGTTGCCAGTCCATTTCAGCAGAGACAGAGGGTCAAGGTGAAGGAGGAGCGGCCGGAAACAAACCTCTGGAACACCAAACTGGGAAGGAAGTGGTGATTTCTTCAGCCGGGAGGTGCAGTGGCTTTGATGCCTAACAACTGAGCTCCCCAACAAAGAAAATCCTTTTCCTTTAAAAGGCTTACAACTCTAGAAATCACATGTGAAAGGGTTTTGATCCATGAAGTAGACTTTCCACGTGACTTAGGTGGGGTTATGATCATGCTTAAACAAAAACAATGCCTTCTGGAAAGATTCCTCCATACCATGCCCGTGATATACAGGAGTGTGAATAAGGGTGGTGCCCGGGTCTGCCAGCCTTTACTTCCCCTATTGAAATGCAATGTGGAAGTCCAGGGGGAAGGTCTCTTAGAAACTTAAGAGGATTAAGGGTCTCTTTCCTCAAAGGGAGTTAGTTGAAAATGTTTTCATGGAAATAGTAACAATTGTGGGCCACAAAAATCTAAGCTGCATAAGAAATGAATGAAAAGATGAGATAAATAGTAACAAAGTAGGGGAGCTGATGTTTTGAAGGGCTCAACAAAGTTGGAAAACAGTTGTTTTGGTTATTCTAGACCATATTATCTGGAAGATTAGGAAGCCACTGTCAGACAACAGAATATTTAAAACCAAGTTTCAAGCCTGGTGAAATAATTGGATGGTGACATGAGGCAGAGAGAGAAAAAGTTGCTGGAACTGAGGAACTCAAGGAACTGAAAGCCCCGGGGCATTGCGTGAGTCATCCATATAGCTGCTGAAGTCACCAGAAGCAATAAGAGATTTAGGGATGGAAAAGCAAATTGAGCCAAAGGGTAAGGCCTTGGGGCATGAGGAGTATGCCCGGGAGGTGAGTGAGTAGATGAACCTAAAGGATTGGTGGGTGGTAGAGCCAGGTGCTCCAAATTCAAATACATTGACATTCACAAAACTAAGTAAAAAAAATAAAATAAACTAAGAATGAATGTAGTAATGCAGAGCAAGGATGACACCTACTCCATATTCTCAACCTGAAGAGCATGGCGTATGTGAGATTTAATGAGAAAAAGGCCTCCATTTAAGAGGGCTACAAGGGAAGCAGGGTCTCCATTAGGGCAAGAAAAGAAAGGGGAACTTCCATTCAGAGAAAAGGTTGAGAACATAGGGAAGTTTGCCAACCACAGGTAAGAGTTCAGAGGGCACAATAAGGTGGAAGAGGGATGGGGTATCGGGTAAACCCAATTAGATTAGAGATTGAGGTAAACCATGATGTGGGGCATGATAGGATGAATCAAAGAGGCTTATCAGTTCAAGTCTTGCCTCCAGAAATCAAGCTCCATGATCGAGGAGATTGCTTCCTCTCCCTCCTGAAGCTGTGTGTGTGTGAATGGTGGCTTCTCTCATATAGGAGATACTGTATACAAAGCAGCTATTCTCAAGCCCAGCTGAGCATCAGAAATCATCTGGGAGCTTTAAAAATTCCTGATGCCCACATCACATCCAGGCCAATGAAATCAGAATCTCTGGAGAGGGACCCAGATATCAATATTACTAAAAGTTCCCCAGGTGATTCCCATGTGCATCCAGGTTTGAGAATGCAGGGTCCTGTTTCAAAGATTCTGGGGTGAAACCAGACATTAGGGCTTTTGTAAAGCCTTTGTGATGGAGGCTATTACTGTTTTTCTTATGCTATTAAATTCCCTTACACTGTCACAATGGAAAGCAGGGAAAGGAACTGTCTTAGTTTAAGCCACAGAAGAGAACAGTGCTATTTTGCAACTCTAGGAAAGAGTTCCTGGCATTCTGTCTCAGATTAAGTATAAAAAAGATTAATCACTTATGTGAAAGAGATAGAATTGGTACAATATACTTTAATAGCCATTCAACTTCCTAATATCTATTTAAAGAGCATAATATAAGGCCTTATAATCTATTGAAGATTCTTGACCATATCCACTGAGACAACAGTTAAGCAATTTCCATGATGTTTATTATCCTTCAGCTGACCACTTAGAACAATATTTTAAAACTTTCTAGGCTATTATTGGAAGCAAAGAGATGATTTTTAGGTAACTGCTGACAATTATTGAGCACTTACTATGTGCCAGGCACTGTGCACATATCACATATAGTCCCCTTTAACCCTCATAGGAATTCAGTGTGATGGGTGCTATTATTACTCTCATTTTAGTAATGAATGTCCAAACTCTGGCAAGGTTGCTTAATATGCCTGAGATCAAACAGCTGTAAGTGGAAAAGTGTTTCGAGTTTAAGAGACATCTGCACTCCCATGTTCAATGCAGCATTATTCACAATAGCCAAGATATGAAACCAACCGAAGTATCAAGCAATAAATGAATGGATAGAGAAAATGTGGTATATATACACAATGGAATACTACTCAGCCTTGATGAGAAGAAAATTCTGCCACTTCCAACAACATGGGTGAACCTAGAGGACATTACACTAAGTGAAATAAGCCCGGCAGAGGAAGACAAATACCACATGATCTCACTTATATGTGGAATTCAAAAAAGCTAAACTTATAAAAGTGAGAGTAGAATGGTGGTTAGCAGAGGCTGAGAAGATGGGGAAAGGGCATGGGAAGATGTTGATCCAAGAGTAAAAAGTTTCAGTAGGCAGGTGGAATAAGCTTTTGAAATCTATTGCACTATAGTCAATTAAAGTGTATTTTATAGTTCAACATTTAAAATAAAAATTTTAAAAAGTAAACCTCTAACCTCACATCCTACATAAAATTAACTCTAAATAGATCATTAATATGAACATAAAAGCTAAAACTGTTATCAAACTTCTACAGAAAAAATGCAGGCAAAATTTCTTACTATTTGAGTGGGCAAAAATCACTTAGACAAAACAAGAAAAGTACATCAGAAAAAGAAGTATAAGTTGGGCCTTATTAAAATTCAAAAGGTCTGCTCTTCAAAATATACTGTTAAGGAAATGAAAAGATAAGCCACAGACTGAACAAAAATATTTTTAAATGTGTGAGATGCATTTAAACAGAGCTTAGAGGGACATGTATAGCTTTAAAGGCAAAGGGTTTTTTTGTTTGTTTGCTTAAAGAAAGGTTTAAAATCAATTACCTGAAGAAGCTATAAGAATAAGATGAAATTAAACTCAAGTAAAAGAAAATACTAAGTATTAGAGCAGAAATCAATGAAATAAAAAAACTGACAAGAAAAATCAAAGAAAGAAAAACTGGTTCTTTATAAACACCAATAAAATTGTATTGATAAATTTTTAGCTAAATTCATCAAGAAAAAAGCAGAGAAGATTCAAATTACCAATATCCAGAATAAAATAATCACATGTTCAGATCCTAACAATGTTAAGGGTAGTAAAATAAATATTTTTTAAAACTTTATATCAATAAATTCAATAATTTATACCAAATAGATAATTCATTGACAGACACAAACTATCAAAAGTGACATGAGAGGAAATAGAAAATCTGAAAAGCCCTATACCTATTTAAAATCATCCTATAAGAAAAAATATAACTTCAGATTGCTTTACTGGCAAATTACATCAAACATTTAAGGAAGAAATAATATCAATTTTACACAAAGTAGTTCAGAAAATAGGAGAGGAGCAGTATTTCTTAATTCAGTTTATGAAGCTACCTAAACCTTAATACTGAAACCAGACAGATACATTATGAGAAAACTACAGACAACATCCCTCAGGAATATAGTTGTATAAGTCCTTAACAACATATCAAATCTAATCTGATTTAAATCTAATCTAATACTATGTAAAAATGATATTACAACCAAATGGGGTTTACTCAAAGAGTGCAAAGTTGGTTTAACATTTGAAAATCAAACTAATTCACCATGTCAACAAAACAAAAGTAAAAAAAAAAAAAAACCCTTAATAAGCTTAACACATGCAGAAAAAGTACTGATGGAATTCAATATCCATGTCTGATTAAAAGTCAGAAAACAAGAAATAGAAGGAAACTTCCTCAACTTAATAAAAAGCATCTGTAAAAATCCTACAGCTAATATCATACTTCATGATAAAAGATGCAATACTTTTCCTTCTAACATTAAGAAGGCAGAGATGTTGCTCTCACCATTTTAATTTAGCCATTTAATTTAGAAGGCAGAGATGTTGTTTTCACCATTTTAATTTAGGAAGTCCTGGCAAGTGCATGCAATGTGATGGTTAATATTGAGTGTCAACTTCATTGGACTTAAGAATACAAAGTATTGATCCTGGGTGTGTCTGTGAGGATGCTGCCAAAAGAAATTAACATTTGAGTCAGTGGGCTGGGGAAGGCAGATCCACCCTTAATCAGCTGCCAGTAAATATAAAGCAGGCAGAAAAACATGAAAAGGAGGAGACTGGCCTATCTTCTTAGCTTACATCTTTCTCCCGTTCTGGATATTCCCTGCCCTCAAATATCGGGCTCCAAGTTCTTGAGTTTTGGGACTTGGACTGGCTGTCCTTGCTCCTCAGCTTGCAGGTGGTCTATGAGGGAACTTGTGATTGTGTAAGTTAATACTTATTATACTCCCATATACATATACATATACACACACACACATATATGTGTATGTATCCTTTTAGTTCTGTCCCTCTAGAAAACCCTAATACAGATTTTGATATTAGGAGTGGTTCTAGAGGAACAGAATATTAAGGATGGAGTTCTTTCACTGGCTTTGGGGTTTCTGGAGTTGGTTGCTTAAGATGATTAGACCCCAAAGTGCTAAGGGCTGTACTTCTAATAGCATGGAAAACACAGATAATCCTTGGTGTGAACTGTTATGAACCAGAAATGCACCAGTCCCCAACCCAAATACTATTACATAAAGTAAGCAATATTTAAATGCTGATATGAAAAGGAAATTAAATGAAGATATTTTCTTAGTTCAAGTGTATACATGCACAAACATGTTTTTAACGAAAGGAGGAAGAAATACTCATGGCAATTACAGTCCTCATTTCTACAACTGGTCACATGGTTGTAGCTGGTATTGATAACTACCTTCTTCTACTACCCATTCTACTACCCTTTGCCTTCAGCAAGTGTCTCAGCGGGTCGTGTTTTTTTTCCTGCTGGAGTGACCCAAACCTTCAATCCTGAACGATCCGGGCCATTTGTAGTCCTGCCTGGATTGGGCTGCTGTAGTTTCCCATTGACCTTAATCACAGGGCATGGTAATACTAAGAGACACCCTAATGGATCTCCTATATTCCCTTTATACTCTTCCTTACCTCCATTGCAGAGCAGTAGACTGATTTCATCCTGATAGTCTGGGTCAATCACTCCAGTCAACACTGTAACTCCCTTCTGAGCCTGTTGACTTAAAGATAGGAGAAGCCAAAAGTGTCCAGGTGGCAATCTTAACATCCAGTTTAATGGAATCATTGTTGCATTTTCTGGCAGCAGTGTTTCTCCCTCTAGAACTAAGACCTCTAGGCCAACAGAACATAATGTCACAAGAACAGGAAGCAAAATTTTTGCTAGATCACTAGGGATGATGATAAGTGGTGTCACTTCCACTTTCACTCCTTGATTCGTAGACCCCTGAATCTTGGCTATAGAAGAAACAGTACCATATATTGGACGCTGATTCAGAGCAAACATGGCCTTCTGGATAACTTTTCCCCAGCCCTGCAAAGTATTGTCACCTGGTTCACATTGTAATTGTGAGTTCAAAAGGCCATTCCATCGTTCTAACAATCCAGCTGCATCAGGACAATGGGCAATATGGTAAGACAAGTGAATTCCATGAGCATGAGCCCACTGCCACACTTCTTTGGCCATAAAGTGAGTGCCTTGGTCAGAGGCAATGCTGTGTGAAATACCATGATGGTGGATAAGGCATTCCATGAGTCCACAGATGGTAGTCTTGGCAGAAGCATTGCCTACAGGATAGGCAAACCCATATCCAGAGTAAGTGTCCATTCCAGTGAGGACAAACCCCTGCCCTTTCCATGATGGAAGAGGTCCAATATTATTAACCTGTCACCAGGTAGCTGGCTGATCACCCCAAAGAATGGTGCCATATCAAGGGCTCAGTGTTGGTCTCTGCTGCTGACAAACTGGGCACTCAGTAGTGGCCATAGCCAGGTTAGCCTTGGTGAGTGGAAGTCCATGTTGCTGAGCTCATGCATTACCTCCATCCTTGCCATCATGGCCACTTTGTTCATGGGCCCATTGGGGGATGACAGAGGTGGCTATGGAAACGGGCTGAGTGGTGTCCACAGTACAGTTCAACCTATCCACTTGATTATTAAAATCCTCCTCTTCTAAGGTCACCCATCAGTGAGCACTCGCATGGGATACAAATATCTTCACAGTTTTTGACTACTCAGAGAGGTCCATCCACATACCTCTTCCTCAAATTTATTTGTCACCAATTTTCCAAATATGCTTCTTCCAAGTACCTGACCATCCAGCCAAACCAGTATATAATCGCACATCTGGCCATTTCTCCTTTCAAGCAAAGTACACAACCACGTGCACTGCTCAAAGTTCTGCCCACTGGGAAGATTCCCTTCACCACTGTCCTTCAGATACGTCCTAGAAAGGGGCTGTAGTACTGCAGCTGTCCACTTTCGAGTGGTGCCTGCATATCGTGCAGAGCCATCTCTGAACCAGGCCCTAGTCTTCTCTTTCTCTGTCAGTTGATCATAGGAAACTCCCTGCGAGGCCATCGGTGTAGGCTGGGGAAGAAAAGGCAGGGTGGCAGGAGTGGACATCATGGGCACTTGAGCCACTTCCTCATGTAACTTGTGCCTTCAGGAACTGCTTAAGCCCAATCATATATATACCACTTCCATTTGATGATAGAATGCTGCTATGCACAACCCACTTTATGGCTAGATGGGTCAGAAAGCACCCAGTTCATGATAGTTCACATGGTGATTTGATGACCCATAGTCAAATGTTCAGTTTCCACCAAAGCCCAGTAACAGGTCAAGAGCTGTCTCTCAAAAGGAGAGTAGTTACCTGCAGAAGATGTCAGGACCTTGCTCCAAAATCCTAGAGACCTCCACTGTGAGTCACCTATGGGGGCCTGCCAAAGGCTCCACACAGCATCCCTATCTGCCACTGACTCCTCAAGCACCATTGGATCTGCTGAGTCATATGGCTTAAGTGGAAGAGCAGCTTGTACAGCAGTGTTGACCTGCTGCAGAGCCTTCTCCTGTTCTGGACCCCACTCAAAATGCAGCGTTTCAGGTCACTCAATAAAAGGGCTGGAGTAACATACCCCAAATGAGGAATATGTTGCCTCCAAAATCCAAATAGGCCTGCTAGGCATTGTGCCTCTTTCTTGGTTGTACAAGGAGCCAAATGCAGCAACTTATCCTTCACCTTAGAAAGAATATCTCAACCACTGGAACTCAAGAAATTTTACCGAGGTAGAAGGTCCCTGAATTTTAGTCAGATTTATTTCCCATCCTCTGGCATGCAAATGTCTCACCAATAAGTACAGTGGGCTTCTTCTTGCTCACTGGATCCAATCAGCATAATGTCATCAGTGTAATGGGCCAGCGTGATATCTTGTAGAAGTGAAAGTGATCAAGGTCTCTTTGAATAAGATTATGTCACAAAACCAGAGAGTTTATGTACTCCTGAGGTAGGACAGCAAAGGTATATTCCTGGCCTTGCCAGCTGAAGGCAAATTGCTTTTGGTGCACCTTATGGACAGGAATGGAGAAAAAAGCATTTGCCAAGTCAATAACTGCATACCAGGTACCAGGAGCAATGAGACCACGTCTGGTACAGCAGCTGCAATTGGAGTCACTACTTGGTTAAGCTTATGACAATCCACTGTCATTCTCCAAGATCCATCTGTCTTCTGCACAGGCCAAATGGAAGAGTTAAATGTGAATGTGGTGAGAATCAGCACCCTTGCATAGTTCAAGTCCTTGATGGTGGCACTAATCTGTGCAATCCCTCCAGGGATGCAATATTGTTTTGGATTTACTATTTTTTCTAGGTAGAGGCAGCTCCAATGGCTTCCATTTGGCCTTTCCCACCTTAATAGCCCTCACCCTACCAGTCAGGGAGCGAATGTGGGGGTACTGCCAGCTGCTAAGTATGTCTATGCCAATTGTGCATTCTGGCACTGGGGAAATGACCACAGGACAAGTCCAGGGACAGACTGGATGCACTGTAAGTCAGAACTGAGCTAAAATGCCATTAATTACCTGACCTCCATAAGCCCCTATTTTAACTGGAGGACCACAATGATGTTTTGAAATTAGTGTCAGCTCACAGCCAGTGTCCAGTAGTCTTCAAAATGTCTGGTCATTTCCCTTTCCCCAGTGCACAGTTACCCTGGTAAAAGGCTGGAGGTCTCCTTGGGAAAGATGGGAGAAACATTTATAGCATAAACTGTTGATAGTGTAGTGGGTCCTTCCTCAAGGGGACCTGGACTTTCTTTCATTCAAGGGGTTCTGGGTCTGCAAACTGGCTCAAGTCTGTAAACTGATTGAGGGGCCATGATTCTCTGTTTTTATAATTCAAATTAGTCTTCTTCCCATTCAACCTAGAATTTTGCTGCTCATATAAATTAAGTAGGAATGCAGTAGGCTTCCTGTAAATTTCACTTCTAAGAACATCATGATTAATTAGCCAAGGCCAGAACTATACACAAGTCAGACTATTCTGATTGCCACTTTGCCTTTGCCGTCCATTACTGTAACTATGCCCACCTTGCCTTTGATGGTTGAATGCCGTCACTTGGCCCCAGTAACTTGAGATCCAGTTATTCCCATTGTATTTAAATTTTGTAGTTGAGTGACTGTGGTTCCCACTGTTATATCTGACATACACAGAAGAGCAATTACAGGGCTCTTCAAAGATGCAGGGGCTGCCCTCACAGATCTATTTCACAGGGCATTGGTCAAGGGTATATATCTTCTGTACCCTCCCAGCTGGGATGAGTAGATCTGAAGTGACTAATCCACTCTACCATCCCAATCTCCCTAAGCCTTTGGATCCCTTCCTCTCCCTAAGCCTTTGAAACCAAGGGAAATCAGGCATTTCCATCTCGCTCACATTGGGCAATCTTTTAATCCGTATTTCAGCTAACCAAGCAAATAAACTATTAGAACTTTTATTAACTCTCAAAGCTGCAACATTAAATGCAGAGTCCCTACTTAGTGGGCCCAAATTAATACATCTAGCCTGATCCAACTCTATGTTCCTTCCACCATTATCCCATACCCTTAATATCAATTCCCATGCCTGTTCTCCAGATTGCTGTTTCCATAAATTAGAGAACTCAAAACAATTATTTTCAAGTGTAGCGTACCTCCTCATGGATCACATTCTCAACCTCACCTCCAGGGACCTACTGGGATGTTAGTGTAATTATAGGTCTAGAAGCAAACAGGGGTTTTGGGGGTGGCTCCTAAGGAGAATCAACATTATTTTGCCTGGCAACTGCCTCAGGGAGGCCATCACTGTTTCCCCAGGCAGCACAGGGTTTATCTCCTCAGATAAAGGTGGAAAGACTGATGGCACCATGAGTCGAGGAGGGGATGTTGCCACTACTTGGTATGGGGGAAGCTGCTCCTTCTGACAAAAACAGTTCAGAAGAGTTCACAAACTTAGTGTCCCCAGCTTCATCTGGGTCCTCCCACATGACCCCATTCCAAGTTTCAGGGTCCCATTATTTTCCAATCAATGCCCTCACTTTAATAGCAGATACCTAGTGAGGCTGCACATGCACTTTTCATTGCAATTCATCCACTTACATGATAAGAGTTTGTGTTTGTTTTTCCACAATTTCAGTTATTTCTCTACAGGAGATAGGACTCTTATTCAGGGCAATCTTAGCAGATTTGAGATTCAATATCTGCTTCCTATTTAAACTGCCTAATCTAACTCAGGGAGTTAGAATTCTGAGGTCATCATTTTCTTTCATCACTTTGTCCACTGAACTTAGGAGCAACCACCCATCTTCATTATGTTCCTTGGTTCTCCACATATGGTATTTATATAGAGTCACTAAACACCTTGCCTCTCAAAAGCAGTGAATCAGGAGTGTCAAATGTAAGTATTTTGCCTAAATGTCTAAATAGTACATGCCAAGGACTATCAGTGTTCTCCATACTATTAGAAGTAGAGTCCTTAGCATTTTGGGGTCTAATTGTATTAAGCAGCCCCCTCCAGAAACCCCAAAACCAACAAAAGAACTCCATCCTTAATATTCTGTTCCTCTAGAACCACTCCTAGTATCAAAATCTGTATTAATCTGGGTTCTCTAGAAAGACAGAACTAATAGGATAGATAGATATAAAAAGGGGAGTTTATTAAGCATTAACTCACATGATCCCAAGGTCCCACAACAGGCCATCTGCAAGCAGAGGAGCAAGGAGAGCCAGTCCGAATCCCAAAACTGAATAACTTGGAGTCTGATGTTCAAGGGCAGAAAGCATCCAGCATGGGAGAAACATGTAGGCTGGAAGGCAAGGCCAGTCTAGTCTTTTCACATTTTTCTGCCTGCTTTATATTCTAGCCCTGCTGGCAGCTGATTAGATGGTGCCCACTCAGATTAAGAGTGGGTCTGCCAAACAGCATGGTACTGGTACCAAAACAGAGATATAGACCAATGGAACAAAACAGAGGCACCGGAGGCAACACAACATACATACAACTATACAATCTTTGATAAACCTGACAAAAACAAGCAATGGGGCAAGGATTCCATGTTTAACAAATGGTGTTGGGAAAACTGGCTAGCCATGTGCAGAAAGCAGAAACTGGACCCCTTCCTGACACCTTACACTAAAATTAACTCCAGATGGATTAAAGACTTAAACATAAGACCTGGCACCATAAAAACCCTAGAAGGAAATCTAGGCAAAACTATCCAGGACATAGGAGTAGGCAAGGACTTCATGAACAAAACACCAAGAGCATTGGCAACAAAAGCCAAAAGAGACAAATGGGACCTAATGAAACTCCACAGCTTCTGCACGGCAAAAGAAACAGTCACTAGAGTGGATCGGCAACCAACAGAATGGGAAAAAATTTTCGCAGTCTACCCATCTGACAAAGGGCTGATATCCAGAATTTACAAACAACTCAAGCAGATTTACAGGAAAAAAACAAACAAGCCCATTCAAAAGTGGGCAAAGGATATGAACAGATACTTTACGAAAGAAGACATATATGAGGCCAACAATCATATGAAAAAATGCTCATCGTCACTGGTCATCAGAGAGATGCAAATCAAAACCACATTGAGATACCATCTCACGCCAGTTAGAATGGCGATCATTAAAAAATCTGGAGACAACAGATGCTGGAGAGGATGTGGAGAAAAAGGAACACTTTTACACTGTTGGTGGGAGTGTAAATTAGTTCAACCATTGTGGAAGACAGTGTGGCGATTCCTCAAGGCCTTAGAAATAGAAATTCCATTTGACCCAGCAATCCCATTACTGGGTATATATCCAAAAGACTATAAATCGTTCTACTATAAGGACACATGTACACGAATGTTCATTGCAGCACTGTTTACAATAGCAAAGACCTGGAATCAACCCAAATGCCCATTGATAATAGACTGGATTGGAAAAATGTGGCACATATACACCATGGAATATTATGCAGCAATCAGAAATGATGAGTTCGTGTCGTTTGTAGGGACATGGATGAATCTGGAAAACATCATCCTCAGCAAACTGACACAAGAACAGAAAATGAAACACCGCATATTCTCACTCATAGGTGGGTGATGAAAAATGAGAACACATGGACACAGAAAGGGGAGTACTAAACACTGGGGTCTATTGGGG